GGCCAGGAACCCAAGACCAATCTGTGCAACATAGTGAGACCCCCATCTCTATAAGAGAAAATAAAAAGCTAGGTGCAGTGGTGTGCACATGTATTGGTTTTAACTACTTGCTTGGGAAGCTGTGGTAGGAGGATTGCTTGAGCCCAGGAGTTGGAGGCTGCAGTGAGCTGTGACTGCAACGCTGCATTCCAGCCTGGGTGACAGAGTGAGACCCTGTTTACCTGCCCTCAAAAAAAAGTTCATCTGAATTACCTAGGCCTTCATTAGAAACCGAAGTTCTTGCTGGTTTTTTTAAAAAAATTCTGTTTAGTTGTCTGAGGAAGGCTACAAAAAAGAAAAGTTCTTTTTGAGGTACTAATTTTTTTTTCTGAATCAGCATTAAAAAGGGAAGGTTGCTCAGGAGTGTAGCTAGATTTCTTTGTGATCAAGTAATTCTGTTGTTTAACACCAGGTGAGTAGGCACTTTCTCATGCATGTATCTGATTTAAAAAGAAGTATGATTTTGCAAATTACAGAAATAGAAAATACTCAACTGAAATAGGACTACTGTTTACACCTAATTGCCAGTTGAGTGTAGTACTTCTAAGCTAAAGCTGATAGCCTCTTTATAAATTACCATCTTTTTATTTATTTACTTTTTATACAAATGCAGTCATTAAGGATAGAAAACATTTCTTTATTGTTATAGAACATTTCTTTTTTCATTTATTTGATTACATAAATTAAATTGCTCATTTATAACTGAAAACAATAATAAAACTGATGTTTTCACAATTTTACTAAGTCTTAAAAGGACGATCACAGATAAGAAATTACTTAAGAAACGCTCATGTAAACAGTAACAGATTTATACATATTTAACTTGAAGATTTTTGTGAAAACTTTTAAATAAAAGCAACATATTTGTGAAGCAGTCTGTATTAAATTGTAGCATTGGTTGTAATATGAGAACTGGTTTCAGATTTGGCAAATTATTATTTTATTTAACATTTGTATTGCTTAAATTGATCTAAAACTGCTTTTTAAAAATTGTATTACCTTTCTGAATTTATTCTTGTACTTAATTAAATCTTTTTGGCAGTTTCCAGTTTCAAGAATTCCATGCATGTTCACAGACATCATTTTCAGTACTGTAAAGCATTTGTTTCTTGATTTGCTGAGTTGAAGTATTCAATTTAAGTCATTAGCTAAACAGAAGTCCTCAGTTTATGCTAATATTGTTTTGTCATAATGTCAATCAGCAAGTATTGCAGAGTGGCACAATGGCAGTGAATTTCATTGTCATTAATCTGAGAAAGCTTTGGGCTTTCCTTGGCAAAGAGCAGAGGTGGGCTGTGTCAAGGTTATGGAGGAGGTACAAATTTTATTAGTCCCACTTTTCTTTGAGATATTATTAAGTGCTATTGATAATTCTACAATATACATAGAAATGTAAGCTAGTTAATATTTATAGATAAGAAAGCTGATAAAGAGTTTAAATAACTTATTCAAGGTGTCACAGATTGTTAGGGCAAAGCCTTGACTAGAGGCCAAGTCTCCACTGCAACACACTTTCTTATGTTTCAGTTGCCAGTGTTTAAAACAGGAAGAGGCACCATGTGTGCATTATGTCTGCATCTTTCCAACAGAGTAGTTTGTCACCTATTACAGTGGGATATCATGGAAATCCCTAACCTGGGAGTCAGAAGGCCAAGATGCAAGTTTGTTCTACATTACAGATTAGTCAATTTTTGGAAGATTGCCAATTTTATAAACTAGAAGTTACTTCTACTGGCAGATGATAGAGAACCGTATTAACAGAATGTCTGGTAATAGAGTTCAACATATTAGAAAGGAATTCTAAGGCAAATATATGTCATGTGCAAATCTTGTCTACCTTTTATTTCTTTGTTAATTCTTAGGGTATTCATATTCTTTTCTTTCAGCTTTAACAAATATGTCAGTATTCCAAGAAAGCTGCTTTCCTTTGATGATTTATTTACTATTTTCTTGCTAATCTATTTCTAAAGCTTATATATCCACTATACTGGAAGGAATCATATTGTTTATATATTGTTAAAGTGGCAATGAGTATAATCCATAGCACAGTGTCGTGGCCCTGTTATTGTTAATCAGTGTGATAGTTAAGATTATGGTGTAAAAGGATCTATAAACCTGACTTAAAAGTGTTTTTTTATATAAAAACTTTCTATTATGACTATGTTTTAGTGTGCATGTTTAGCTAATGACATAAAAACAGGAATCACTTTGGCAGGATCTTTTTTATCATAGTAAAAAATCTGTAGTTACTCTGAAAATCTCTTATCTCTCTCTGTTTAAAAACATTAGTAATCAAGGTAAATTTAATATTAAAAATATTAATATCCTATTGTGATTTCAGCTGTATGTACCACATATTTATGTAAGGAAAGAGGGAAAGTCCCAACGATTTAATTTTTTTTTATGTTGTTTTCGATTGATGGAAAGCTAGATTGTGTTTTTATATAACGCTTCATTCTGTGGGCTAACATCCTTCTTTCTTGCCCAAAGTCCTAGAGGCTGGGTGGTCTAAAGTGATGATGATTTACTATACTCTTGAGATGGAGAATACTTTCAGAAATCAACATTTACCAACCTCTTGCTTCTTTCCTGAGTACTGTCTTTGCTGTTACTCAGATATTTGTTACATTGGAAGGAACGTTTTGTGGATGCCTATGTGCATATGGACATAATCAGTTTACTAGTTTATATATTTTCACTGTTCTGTTTTATATTCTCTTGGTAACAGTGAGAAGTAAGGATTAACTAACTTAGTGTGATCAAGCAAGATACTCACTCTACAAAGAATGGAGTTGATTTCCTACAGACTAGCATTAGACCCTAATCCTGCCAGTCATACCAGGGGAGATGTGGATGCTATTGATGTGACCAGACCTGCTGCTAGTTTCCCATGCCATTTAGCTGCAACTGCAAGGCTTAAACTCAACTCTCCTATCAAGGCAGGAGACCCGATGGGATTGACAACCACCTGTGAAGCCTCACCTGCGACGATCTGGCTGGCTGTCTTGGCCTCTGATCATATCAGAAGAAGGGCACTACTTTCTTAATCATGCAGCTTTTAAAAATATCCTCAGCCCCACACTTGAGGGTCTGTTTCTTAGATTCTAACATCTAGCCCTGTAAGAATGCAGTATGCTGCCCCTGCTTTGAAAGGACAACAGAGGACCTACACACATGCTGCTGATCCCGACCGTGGGTTTTCCTTCCATAAACACTGTTCTGGCAAGCTTTGTGTGTGCTGCTGGACCATTTGCTTATGTTTGCACAATAAACCAGAAATAGAATTTTGGTTTTGAAATCATTTCTCTGCTAACTAAAGCTATTAGATATGCAATGATATCCCAATGAAATTTCGAATATACTTATAAGAAATTTGTTGCTGAGGGCTAGAGACACAAATCCAGTAGTCACTGAGGATTCAAAGTACTAGGGGATTTTTTCTCACTAATCCCATATTAGGCATAATATATGCTAGTTTATTGTGTAACTGTATATATATATATATATATAACTGTAATACACTGAAATATACATAATTTACTGTATAATATATAATATACCGTTTATGAGTGTGATAGTTTATAGTATAAAAGGATATAAGAACCTGATTTGGAAGTGCTTTTTTTATATAAAAACAATATTCTAATCCCTAAAATTCCATATAAACTATGCAGACAAAGTGTGAAAATATTTTAAAAACACCTTTGATTTAAATATAAACAGATGTTCAAAACATTAAAACCAGCTGAAATTCTTATTATTTGTCATCTAGGCTTGTTGTATATGTGAAAACAATCACTAACAGTTGGGTAAAAACATGAGAAAGATTTTAATAAATGTAATAGATTAGATTATGAGTCATATTAGGTCATATTAATAATAGGTCAGATTTCTTGGATCCTTTTATACTATAATCTTAACTATTACACCAGAACAGTATGTTATGTTGTATATTTTGTTATACTTATGTTATTTAAGCATAATATATACCTAATATGGGCTAATGAGAAAGAAATTAGATGGCAGACATAGTTATAATATATTACTCTAGCATATGCCTTTTACCCAACTATTAATTTAGTGATTTTTTTTTCCCTACATATTCAACATGCCTAGATAACAAATAATTAGAACATAAGAATTTCAGCTGGTTTTAATGCTTTGGAAAAAGTGTTCATATTTAAATCAAAAGTGTTTTTAAAATTTTATTTTCATACTTCCTCATCTTCATAGTTTATACTGAATTTTAGAGATTAGAAAAGTACTTTTAAACACTAGGGTAAAGCACATTCACAAGGTTTGTATACCTTGCTCCATTTCTTATAATACTTTAATGATATTTATTATAAAAGTAATCATATAAAATGATGTCTATACTCTTAAAACTGATCTCTACATCTCTAAGTTGGGTAATTGCTATTTGATGTATAATTAAATAATGAAAATTTGAAACAGTATATTATAGCAAATGAATAGTTTGTTTGCTGGAGCTTTTATTCATCAGGTTTCTCTTGTCTTTTTCTGGATAATGTCACATAGAGAAATGTAAAAGATAATTCTGTATATAAATAGTGGGGGTAGGTAAATCTATCTTCTTTTGTAGTCTTATCTTTCCATTTATAAAAATCTACAAAAACCAGGTATTTCCTCATTTTAATGGAATTATTGCCTAACAAACTTGATAGCATCGGATAAAGTTAAGTTTATTCTAAACTGTTCACTTGTGGGTCCTTGGAAAATTTGCTTTATTAACTCTTTCATCGTGTGGGGAAAGGAAGGGGGTGGGGAGAGAGAGGAGAAGTGGGAGAATTAGCTAGGTTTTTTAAGAATATCTTTTATCATTACATAACTTGTATTTCTAAATAGCTATGTTTTGCCCCTCAAAAAGTCTTCAAAATAAGTACTAAAAGATATTCAATATTTTAATATATTTCAGTAACTTTTTTGTATCTTAATGTCAGGTCTTCAAACATGAACTGGCTTACTTATTGGCTGGAATTCTTGGAGCAGCAATAGATTATTGGATCTTCCTTGGTCTTAAGATGGGTAGAAATGTGATGCAACACATGTCTGATGACTTAGGAAGTTATATTTCTCTTTCATGTGATGGTAAGTTTGTCTATGTTCTGTTTTTTTCAGACCCATTCTGGAGATTAGTTTTGAATTTCTTTTTAAGCAGTCTGTAAGCTTTAACATATGTTCATTTGAAGCTTTCCTTAAAATACTTATGGATACATGCACACATAGATACACACACAGAGACAATATAAAGAGGAAGGTTAAAAGTACATATAATGCTCCTCCACAGATAACCACTGTTAACTTTTTAATGTCTTTCTGGTATTTCTAAGCATAGAAATAGAGTTCATACTATATATATAATTTTGTATCTTATTTTCCTCTAACATTAAAGGAGACTTGCCCCCACATACATTTATTATTCAAATATAATTATTTTGCCAGGTGCAGTGGCTCACGCTTGTAATCCCAACCTGCTTTGAGAGGCTGAGGTGGAAGGATCTCTTGAGACCAGCCTATGCAACATAGCAAGACTCAGTCTTTAAAAAAAAAATTTAAAGATTAACTAGGCATGGTGGTGCATACTGGCCGGTAGTCTCAGCTACTCGGGAGGCTGAGGTGGGAGGATCCCTTGAGCCCAGGAGTCCTAGGCTGCGGGGAGCCCTGATTGTGCCACTGCACTGTAACCTGGGTGACAGAGCGAGACCCTGTCTCTTAAAAGAAACAAACAAGAAAATCTTGCTATTGTTTTTTCCCCATTGAGTATGGTGGTCTAACAAGAAGTGAACATGAATGAAGCAAAAGAAGTAATTTATATGGATAACTTTTTTCACTCTTCCTTTTCTCCCGATTACCTACTTTAAAGTCTCCCCGCCAAAAATGGGGAAGGATAGTTTTAAGCAACATGATGGCAGAACTCACTTCACAAGTGAAAAGTTCTAGCCAATGCTTTGGGTCTCTAGACTGAAGGAGGCTTCCATAAAGACGTTATGTAGATTCCCAAACTTTCATAGTCAGTTTAGGAAGAGTCTTTTTTTGTTTTTTTTTGAGATGGACTTTCGCCCTTGTTACCCAGGCTGGAGTGCAATGGCGCGATCTCGGCTCACCGTAACCTCCGCCTCCAGGGTTCAGGCAATTCTGCCTCAGCCTCCTGAGTAGCTGGGATTACAGGCACGTGCCACTGTGCCAGCTAATTTTTTGTAATTTTAGTAGAGACGGGGTTTCACCATGTTAACGAGGATGTTCTCGATCTCTTGACCTCGTGATCCACCTGCCTCAGCCTCCCAAAGTGCTGGGAGTACAGGCCTGAGCCACTGCGCCCAGCCCAGGAGGAGTCTTTATCCATTCTTTCCTTTTTTCTTTATTTCTTAATTTCTGTAATCCTTAATTCCTAAAATGAATACATTTTAAACGAGGTGAGTTTTTTGTGATTCTTGTCTACAAAAGATGATTTTTATATACTTGATATTTTAAGCTGCCAAATAAGTACTCTGCTACACATGTGTTTCAGTGTATTTTGATTTTATATAAAGAAAAAAGTCTTCAATATGTTGTCAATCACTTTAATACTTTGAAGAGAGACTTCAGAATAGGAATCCAGGTTATAACTGGGTTCAGGATTTATTCAATGATGCCCTCTGCAGAGAGAGTTCTCTTTTTATACTACCAAAGTTAGAAGATTTTTATCTAAAGCATTTTGTCTCTTTTCTTTTTTTCTTTTTCATTGAGCTGAGGGGTTGATTACAGTTCTTTTGTGGACTAGCTGTTCTTTGTTGCATGACTTCACCATTTCTTAGCTAACATTCAGTCTTCCTGCAGAACCCTTTCTTATTTCTTTCCTACCATTCCTACTAGGTAGTTTAGCGGTTTTTATCCTTTTCATAATCAACAGAATTCTGGCATTAGTTGCTATCACAGAATTTCCTGTTTTCATTCCTTAATGAAATTTGAATTTTGAGACCCAGTAGAGGATTAGCAATGGCTTTAGAGATTATCAGTATAGTTACATGTCTTATTTTCAATACACAGTAATTGCCCTTAAGGAATTATAATTTATCTTATAGTATAGCCAAACGCATGAAATAATGAGCCGTATATTAATGGAATTCTATCATATGTTATACATTTGCTTCAATGCTTTCTTCACTAATATTCTGTATTTCCCTTCACTTTAAAGCAGGACATTGTTATCCAATGTTATTTTCAGTTTTTACATGATAAGTTGAAACCCCAGAACTTTGATTCTGTGACTAACATGAGCTTAAACTCAACCTTAGTGTTACTGTTAGGATCCTGTCAACAGATTGATTATTTTGCTCGCAAAGATCTGTTAATATATTTGATCACTAAAATTCAGAACTTCAGGTGAGATTTAAATTGTCACTATTGAAAGTTGTTTTTAAGCTTTTTTCTTTAACTGTCTCAAAATATCGTGTGTGCATATGCACACACACGAAGTTGGCTGCTTAGGCTTCAAATTAAGTTATAGCTAGGCAATCGAAAAGTTGTTGTTGTTGTTGTTGTTGTTGTTGAGACAGTTTCACTCTTGTTGCCCAGGCTGGAGTGCGATGGCACGATCTCAGCTCACCAAAACCTCCGCCTTCCAGGTTCAAGTGATTCTTTTGCCTCAGCCTCCCAAGTAGCTGGGATTACAGGCATGCATCACCATGCTCAGCTAATTTTTGTATTTTTAATAGAGATGGGGTTTCTCCATGTTGGTAAATTTGATCTCAAACTCTCGACCTCAGGTGATCCGCCTGCCTTAGCCTCCCAAAGTGCTGAGGTTACAGGCGTGAGCCATGGCACCCAGCCAATTTAACAGTTTTAAACATTATTTCTTGTTTTCCTTTTTTGAGGCAGAGACTTAACTCTGTCCCCCAGGCTGGAGTATGGTGGCAAGATCTCGGCTCACTACAACCTCCACCTCCTGGGTTCAAGAGATTCTTATGCCTCAGCCTCCTAAGTAGCTGGGACTACACTTGGCTAATTTTTTTTGTATTTTTAGTAGAGATGGGGTTTTACCATGTTTGCTAGGCTGATCTCAAACTCCTGACCTCAGGTGATCCACCCACCTCAGCTTCCCAGAGTGCTGCATTACAGGCATGCGCCACTGTGCCCAGCCAAAAGTTTTAAACATATATTTCTAAAAATTGTTCAAATTAATGTTTTTCTATTTTCTGTCAGTTTTTTTTTCTTTTAGTGCAGCTTGGTGTTTAACCTTCGTCAAGAGACAAAAATTAAGTGAACGTTTGATCATAAACCAGTAGCTTTTCTATAGCTAATATACAAAATTAAATGTGAAGTTTGTAGAATACCACACTTCTCCCTAAAAGTGAACTCTGTTCCCATCCAGCCTGAAGGACAGAGTGAGACTCTTCTCAACAACAACAAAAAATAATATTTAAAACTTTTAAATTGCCTAGCTATAACCTAATTTGAAGCCTAAGCAACCAACTGCATGTGTGTGTGTGCACATGCACACACAGTTTTGAGAAAGGTAAAGAAAAAGGCTTAAAAACACTTTTCAATAGTGACAATTTAAATCTCATCTAAAGTGTTGAATGTTAGTGATCAAATATATTAATAGATCTTTAGGAGCAAAGTAATCTGTCAATAGGATTATAACAGAAACACTAAGGTTGAGTTTAAGCTCATGTTAGTCACACACAGACTCACAATTCATACTTTTTGTTCATATTTTGATGAATTTTGAAATTCATTGTCTGCCACCTCTTTTTTTTCCTCATTTCTTTTCTCTGCAGATATTCCTTCCTTAAAAAAAAAAAACATTTATTTTGCATTATTCTTCTACTCAGTTACTGTCTTTTGCTTTTCCCAAGTCATTAGTAAAGATGTTATAATTTCACTATTATATAACTCCCAGTTGAAGATATCGGTCCATCTTTCTCAATTATGGTAAGCTGGACGTTTTGTTTTTTCCTAGTTCAAATGTACAAAATTCATACCATGACACTACTGAGATTCATATCTGTCAGAATTATTTCATTTTAGTATAATTTTTAGTTTATAATTGTTCTGTCAAGAATTAAGGCAACAGATATTTTAGAAGATAAATAAAAATTTTTTTCTATCAGATCTCATGTGCATCAGTTCCATATAGATGCCATTCTGTGTTGTTTCTAAACACTTTCTTTTCTGTATTTTAAGGTTAAACTATCTGAAATTTCTTTTTTATGCCTAATACAAATTCCTTATTTAGTGGCTTAAACTACAGGTTAACAAACTTTTTTCAATGTTAAATACCAGATAGTAAATATTATTGGCTTTTTAGGCCCTACAGTCTCTATCCCTGCCACTCAACTTTGTAGTTGTAGTAAGAAAGCAACCATACATAGTACATAAACAGACAGCATGGCAGTGTTCCAATAAAACTTTATTTGTAAAAACAGGCAGCACACCATAGTTTGCCAGTCTTGACTTAAACTTACTTCTTTTTTTTTTTTTTTTTTTTGATACGGAGTTTCACTCTTGTTACCCAGGCTGGAGTGCAATGGCATGATCTTGGCTCACTGCAACCTCCGCCCCCTGGGTTCAGGCAATTCTCCTGCCTCAGCCTTCCGAGTAGCTGGGATTACAGGCACGCACCACCATGCCCAGCTAATTTTTTGTATTTTTAGTAGAGATGGCGTTTCACCATGTTGACCAGGATGGTATCGATCTCTTGACCTCGTGATCCACCCGCCTGGGCCTCCCAAAGTGCTGGGATTACAGGCTTGAGCCACCGCGCCCGGCCCTTAAACTTACTTCTTATCCAGTTGTTTCCCTGGGAAAGATGTCATCAAAATTTACTTTAGTTTTTTTCATAACTTTGGAGAATTTTAGTAAAACTTCCTTTGCTTTTCTTAAATTGCACCATCATTTCCTGATAAGTATTTTTTCCAGACCTTCATCACTTTTGCTTTGTTATCTCTAATTTCTTTCCATGCTTCAGAACTCTTTTATAAATATGTTTATATATCATTACTAATTATCAGCCAAAATGTTTCTGGTCTCTTCAGTTATTCAACAGAATTTTATTGGCATTCTGTCCGTCATTGAGCTAAACACTTTTATATACAGTGGAAGAGGGAAGCAAAACATGGTCCTTGTGGGGTTTTTTTTGGAACTTTCAGTAAGACAGTTAATAATTTATATTAACTGTAATTAAGTTAATATAAATATGTCATTTAAAATAAGTGCTCTAAACAGGAAAACCTAGGTGTTGAGATTGTTGAAGTTACTTTATACTGTGTGACCATGGAATTCAGAACATGAAGAATAAGTAGAAGTTTGACAGGACAGAGTGTTTTAGTCAGAAGATAACATTTACCAAAACTCTGAGATAGGAAAGAGGGCCTTTTTGAGCCTTTCTGGTGCCTGGCTGTTGGGAAGAGAGGCCATAATACAGCCAAAGAAGGGATAGGAGATGTGTAAGAATTTGTAAGCCTCGTTAAAGAGTTAGAAGCCATTGTAGCAAGGGAGCAGCATGATCTCATTAACTTAATTTAAAAAGATTGTCCTGGCTTGGCTCTCTATTATGAGTTATTGGTATCTGCCAATCATTCATTCATCTATCAAACACTAAATGTTTACTCTGAACAAGTTAATGGCCTTATATACTGTAAGGACTACAAGTATGACTCTTCCCTTGAAGTTCTTACAGTCCACGGGCTAATTTTCTTGTGTTCTTTTGTTCATCTATTATTTATTATTCCCCTTGACTTTGTTACCTGGTAATATGGGTAGCTATCATATTAGTAGTTGGTATTCCATATTTCTGTAAGCCTATCAAATGTGATCTTTATTAGATAAATAACCCCATTTGTAAATTTCAATATGAGATCGTCTCTTTTGAACTCTACAAGTTATTTCTGCTTTGCTTTTGCCTCTGTCTAGAGTTCTTATGTTAAGAAATCAATTGGTTGCAGTATACTCTGTGATGATAGATAGGTTTTTAACATATATAATTAGAGATTGAATTTTCAGATTATCTTTTGATTCTTATCCTTCAGTTTACTGCTTATACATTTTTAGATAATATTAAGAGAGCCTCAGTAGTAGCAAGAGAAAGGACTGGAAATAATTCTTTTCTCCTTTCGAACTCATAAAACTTGTATCTTTGTGGAAGCCATTATGGAAGGACTTATCTAATTCAGTGATAAGTCTGTGTGGGATTAGTTGTATCTGATTAATACCTGACCTGAAGCCATTTGCCCAAAGTTTTAAAGACACCTTAAGACAAACTGCCACAAGACAAGGGCATCAGATCTCTTTAGTCAAGGCAAGTTTCTTAGCCTGTATGCTGATTACATTTTGGGCTTGATAATTATTTGTTGTTGGGGCTGTCCTGGGCATTGTAGGATATTTAGTAGCATCCTGAGTCTCTGTCTACTAGATGCTAACAACATCCCCTTCCCCAATATGCAAACCAGAAATTAACAAATGTTACCTGAAAGCAAATCCTTCCTTACTTCTCCCATCCACACTATTGAAGATCAGAGTTAAGAGTCAAGGACTATAAGACAATAGAGTACCAGCCTTTTCTGAAGGTATCTGAGCAGGACATTCACTGGGTATCTTCATTCTCTTCACCCTGAAAGAACTCCACCCCTGATAGAGAGGCCAACTTTTATGCTTTATACTGCTATTAAATTTGTTGTCTGATTTAAAAAATATATTTTAACTTAATGGTTATAATTTTAATAATTCTCTTCTGTTTATTATGTTTATTTTGCTAATTTTATTGACTTTTTTATTCTTTCAGTGTTTATAGTTAATCTGCCTTATTGTATAATATCACAACTTTTTAATACTGTTTGTAATTTTAGTTCTTGATATCCTCTTGGTCTTATTTATTCTTTTATTATCATTTTGTTGTATTTCCATTATGTTACTTACATAGAGAATATTAATCGTTTATAATATTAAATAGATTACATGGGAAAGAGTCACTCTATTCCTTTTTCAGTTTTAATTCATGTTTATACCTCTGGATTTTCATCTTATTGAAACACTTGAGCTTTTGTAGAACAGATTTGAGGCCCTTGGTGTTTTCTTGCTTTTTTTTTTTGTTTGTTTCATCATTTAAAATTATCCACCATCTGGCGCGTGCCTATAGTCCCAGCTACTCAAGATGCTGAGGCATGACAGTCGTTTTAACCTGGGAGGTAGAGGTTGCAGTGAGCTGAGATCATGCCACTGCACTCCAGCCTGGCAACAGAGTGAGACTTCATCTAAAAAAAAAAAAAATTATACACCATCCCCAATAGCAGAGTGGGGGCGAACTTCTGAGGAAATCTTTATACATGCTCTTGTTTTATGTTTTTCTTCTGTATCTTGTACCTTTCCTCCTTTTCTGCAGTGATAGGATTAATAGATGTTGTAATAGGAAGCAATCTACTTTCTTCCTATCAACTCAAGACTAATGATTGCAAATTAGATATCTGTATGCTCAGTTAAAAACTAATTACTGGTTTTCCAAAGGATCATCCCTATTGTGGGAAGAGATCTTTAATGGTAATTGGAAAGTATAGTGATAAATAAAATACCCTCTATATATTACCTACTTATTCTGTATATATGTAATTTGAAGACTTGCATTTGAAATAATAAAACCTAATGATTGTCTTTTCAAATGTGAGAACATGTACCATTAAATATTTTCTCTTAAAAGTCAAGGAATAGGGATATTACCTATTTTTTGTGGGTTAAAATCATGTGGGTGAATCTTACGGGTGTAAGAACTCTCATTTGACAGAATAAACTTCACTAAAGAAATAGCGTACGGAAAAAAATTGTATAGGATACAGCAATAACTATATTTACTTATCTTATGTTCTCCAGACTTTTCTTCACAGGAATTAGAGATATTTATTTGCTCCTTTTCCTCCTCCTGGCTTCAAATGTTTGTTGCAGAGGCAGTCTTTAAAAAGTTGTGTCTACAGAGCTCTGGCAGTGTTTCTTCTGAGCCACTCTCTCTTCAGAAAATGGTAAGCACCTCTCTATTCTGGTTCTTTTTTTTGGGGCGGGGGCAGATTTTCACTCTTGTTACCCAGGCTGGAGTGCAATGGCGTGATCTCGGCTCACCGCAGCCTCCGCCTCCTGGGTTCAGGCAATTCTCCTGCCTCAGCCTCCTCAGTAGCTGGGATTACAGGCACACACCACCATGCCCAGCTAGTTTTTCGTATTTCTTTAGTAGAGACGGGGTTTCACCATGTTGACCAGGATGGTCTCCATCTCTTGACCTCGTGATCCACCCGCCTGGGCCTCCCAAAGTGCTGGGATTACAGGCTTGAGCCACCGCACCCGGCCTCTATTCTGGTTCTTTACATTTTCAAGAAGTGTATTCACAAACTCAATTTTAAAATACTCTTAGTTATTTCAAGTAAGTATGCAGAATATATTAATTCATAAATCCTTGAATTTTGTATAAAAGCTGATATATTTCTACCTCAGAAATAGAGTAATTAAAGACAGCTATAGTGGTAAGTGCCTATAGTTCCAGCTACTCAGGAGACTGAGGTAGGAGAACTGCTTGAGCCCCTGAGTTTGAAGCTATAGTGCATTATGATTGCACCTGTGTATAGCCACTGCATTCCATCCTGGGCTATGTAATGAGACCCCTTCTCTAAGGGTGATGGGGGAAAGGTAGTCATCAAATAGAAATTTTAAGGCCGAGCATGGTGTCCCCGACCTATAATTCTAACACTTTTGGAAACCAAACCAGGAGGATCCCTTGAGCCCAGGAGTTCGAGACCAGCCAGGGCAACATAGCAAGACTCTGTCTCTAGAGAAAGTTAAATTAGCTGGGCATGGTGGCACTTGACTGTGGTCCCAGCTACTCAGGAGGCTGCGGTGGGAGGATCCTTTATCCCAGGAGGTCAAGGCAGCAGTGAGCTGTGATCACCGCTGCACTCTAGCCTGAGTGACACCCTAAGACCCTGTCTCAACAACAAAAAGAGGAAAATAAAAAAGAAATTTTAATTACTTTTCAGTGTAGCCAAGGGTTGATAATAGAAAAGTAAAAAATCCTTGTTTCCTAATAACATTTCTACATGAGGTTATTATTTTGGAAAGAACTAGATCTAACAAAATTCTACATGGTATAAAATGGCATTTTAAAAGCAAAATATTGTGCATATAAGCTACATTTGATTTTAAGTTTTCCAGTTTTATTTTGGCTATATTTAGATATTAATATCCAGTAGCTCTAGCAGTGTTTCATCAAATGAGAAATATATTTATTGGTCAGATTAGGCAAATTCTGTTTTGCAACAATCCTTGCCTTTAAGGATGTTGTTATTCCTTTTCTGTTGAAAATGAAAGACTTGTTACCCATTGAAGAAGGGCAGTATCAAAATGGAAATTACAAAATATCAGTTGTATGTAAATCATACATATAAAATATGCAAATGAATCATACATGTTGGGCATAAGACTGATCAAAAGAGCTTTCCTAAATGAGGATCAAAATTGAATTAGGAAAAAAAATTATTTCAAGAAGATATTTTTGTATTGCTTCATGCTGTATTGACTGACAGAAAGCTAGCTTTCTTAATATTTTGTTATGTTCAACTAAGAAAGAGTGGCAACCTTTGTGATGCAACCAAGAAAATATAACCAAATGTAATGGTGAAATGAATCAAATAATGTCTCTTTGCTGCTTTTTTTGTAGTTGAAAAATAATGTAATATTTTTCAACAGGTATATTCCTATTTACCAGCCTTGGGGAAAACTGGTGTGCTTGGGTCTGGAAAGATTCAGATATCAAAGAAAATAGGACAGAGGCCTTGTTTTGAATCTCAGAGAGCCTTACTAATGCTGAATGGTACTAAACAAAACCAAGTCGAAGAGCTGCCAGAGTTACCGTAAGTGATGCTGATATCCTAAATGTGCTTTGTTTTGGAGTACAGCTCTTTTTCCGATGCATTTCTTGAACTTTATGGTTATCTGTGATACTGTCTGAATTATATTGATTTGATCAAAACGCAATTTTAGATCTATTTGATAACCTTTTCTGTTTCTGTAATTCAAGGACCATATTTTCTTTCTATTAAGTGCTTCCCAAAAGAGATAAAACTGTTCATCAAATTATTGATGAATTATTGATGAAATACAGTTTCACACAATTTTTGCCCTATGATTTGAATTACTACTTTGCCATAATATAGATGGGATTTCTGAATGCATGGTCATATGAGATATCCTATATTGTTATAGTAGTTTCCTCAAAATGAGAAACCACCTCTAAAAGTATAGGGTATATAAAAGTGTATGTTGTATAAAACTCAGAAAGCCTGAAAAGTTCTATGAGAGGAAGAAGAGAATAGAATCAGAATATGAAAATAAGAATGGGGAGCAGAGGCCTGCATTCTGATCTTAGCTTTCTGCTTTATTCTCTCTGCCAAATATGGTTTAACTGGTCTTTTTCTCCTTATTTGACATTCTGTATTTATAAATTTAGTGAGTAGTTGGCATAGTAAGATTAATAAAAGAAAATTAGTGCACTGAAATTTGTTTCTACACAGTTGACATAAACTTTAAAATAAGAAAGCAGTAAAGATTGAATGAGTAAGGAGGTTTAAATTAAAAGGAGGCTAGACTTTTAAAAAATATCATCTAATATATGCTGGCACGCCTTGCTGAAAAACAAGCTTTCATTATTTCTTACATTTCCTTTTAGGGACCTGAACCTTGCTAAATGTTCCTCATCATTAAAAAAATTGAAAAAGAAGTCAGAAGGAGAATTGTCATGTTCCAAGGAGAATTGCCCCTCTGTAGTTAAAAAGATGAATTTTCACAAGACTAATCTAAAAGGTATCCCAAGTATCTAAATTAATTTATGCTAAGAACTTTTCATGGTTATAGTCAGTACTTGCAGGTTTCACACATTTGCCCTGATGAATACTTGAACTTAAATTTGGACGAGGTCCAGGAAGTACCTTCTTGGATAACGTGTTATTTTCTTGAACTGTCATTTATGCAAAGAAAGTGATTGTTTAATACCCAGTATAATAGAGTATTCCTTCCCTTCTTTCTTCTCCCTGCCATTCCAGATATGAAACACAGTGTAGCATTCATTGAGCTCATTCCAGACTTGCCCGCCTTACTTTTCTATTCCATCTCAACCTGTGCTGCTTAGGATCAGTGTCTTCTGATTTGAAAGTATAATTCAGTCTTCATCTCTTTCAGTCCTAGACATTTTGTGAACAAAGAATGAAGAGTAGGCTATGTTACATAGCTGTGTTAAGCATATGGGCTCTTTTCTTCCAGGCATTGAGCCCAGACTATGAAATGTGTTTGGCTTTTGGTTCTAACTATACTGGAACCTAAGTACCTAAAGGATGAAATAACAAGAATAGCGTAATAATTCACTTTGGCACCCCTTTACTTAGACACCTCTTAACTTGCAAATAGATCTTCTAGAAGTCTATACCTGGCCAAAGTAAATTACTGAGTATTTGTTGTTGTTTATGACTTATAGCTTGTTTTTAATACAAATATTAACATTATGACACCCATGGAAATAGTGACAGTGAAGCTCTTATATTTTAATGTGATATAAGTTCATAATTGCACATTACAGATGCAAAATAACTGTCCGTTTGGCTCAGAATATGAAAAGGATGTTAGATGAGAACTCAGATATTAATTTCACAAATCAGCGTTCTTTGTTTTATTGTTTCAGAAAGTAAAATGAATATGAATGATTTTAGGCAGAACAGCAGAAGGAACTGGGAGAGAGGAAGAGAATTGAGATATAGTAGAGAAAAACTTTAAAAGCTTTTTTATGCATATAAAAATGTTTTTGTACAAGTTACAGAGATAATCTGTAAAAGTGAACACTGTAAAAATGTGCTACTTAGTATTTTATAGGAAGAGCAAATTTGGTTCAGTATTTCATTTTGTTTCCTAAGCAGTCATTTATAATTTTTTTTTAAAAAATTCCCCTTAAATAATCACTTATAGCTTATTAATCTTGGTTATAACAGTGATGGATATAGAAAAACCCTTGTCATTCTATTTGTTACTCTAGTTCAGCTTTAAATGGTACTAGGGATTTTTTCCTGTGTGTGTGTGTGTGTGTGTGTGTGTGTGGTGTGTGGTGTGTGGTGTGTGTGTTTATATTAAGATTCCTCCATTTCTCCCTCTCTGTGCTGTTGTAGCCAAGCCAGACAGCCTATTGAGAAGCAGCAAACCATCTGTTAATGGATTTGAAGTTCTGAATTATACTTGAGTGTGTAGAGGCACTCATGCTTAGCCAGAAACATTCATTTGAATTAAGCTATAAATGCTGTATAAAAAAGAGCCATACATTTAACGTAGGTTCATGAATAAATTTAAGAGAGGGCAATTGCTCTCTAAACTTTTATTGCTGCAAAATCCAGTATTTTTGGTGTTCTCTGATCATTTGGGGGTTTTATAGCAGGATTGAAGCTTTAAACCTTGAACTAGGGGAGACAATGCCTGTATTAAACCTTTTGCGATAGAATTTCATTGCTGAATTGCTGATAGAACAGAAGCACTATGGATTGGTGGGGGTCCTCCCCCCTTTTTAACACAGGAGATGTTTAAACCAGTCAAAAGGAAAACTCAATAAATAATTTTCTGGCATGGGGCCAGATCTCCTAGTTCATGCCCTTTGATTATTTTCTTTAGTTGATATCTTGTCTTCTCTGGAATAATCTATTAATTTTTTATGGCAGGAGAAACAGCCCTGCATAGAGCTTGCATAAATAACCAAGTGGAGAAATTGATTATTCTTCTCTCTTTGCCAGGAATAGACATCAATGTTAAAGGTAAGTTTTAAATCTTTGTGGTCTAATCCAATGTCTTAATATTTGTGATAATAAATAGTTTTATGTCACATTAAGAAAAATTATTTAAGTAAATTTACCTAAGGTATCTTAAAAATATTACAATTAGCAAAGCCAAGAAATTTCTCATATATTGATTTATAGCTAATGGTATAGAAACATTTTTTGATGTCCATATTTTGATAATACCCAACATTAATATTTTTAAATTGTTTTTATTTTGATTTTTTTAAGGTAGAAATACGATTACACCCTAGACATTTTTATCACAGCATTTGTTTTGTATATGAAACACCAAGAAAGTCACACTGATGAGAAAAGTAGAACATCAATACTTTCCTACCAAAAGTCCTACTTCCGCCGTTTTAAAACTTGCCTTGATTTCTAATTTAGACAATGCTGGCTGGACGCCTTTGCATGAAGCCTGTAACTATGGCAACACAGTGTGTGTCCAGGAAATTTTGCAACGTTGTCCAGAGGTAGATCTGCTCACTCAAGTGGACGGGGTGACTCCTTTGCATGATGCACTGTCAAACGGACATGTAGAAATTGGCAAGCTGCTACTACAGCATGGGGGTGAGTGCGTTTATGCTAAATGGGTTTTGTTAAATTATCCAGTTTTTTGATGAATCCTACAGAGATAGATAGCATTTTATATTAAATGCTGTGAGGAAATATGCCTTTATTTCATATTAATGAAAAAGTAAGGATAAAAAGTCTCTGAAAATGTACGCACCTTTTATTAGTAGAGGTAAACCTTTTCATAATATATATTTATTTATGTATGTATTTTAAGCCTATTTACGTTTATGTCTGAGAGTCTATTTTTGAATTGAATGTGCTGGTTTTAAATATTTATCCTTTTACTTCAGGTGTTTAATGTCTGTGTGAGCCAGTCATTTCTGAAAGCTTTTTAATAAATGGATATAAATGTTCAATTGTGATTACCTGGATTCTTTCATTCTTTTTTCATTTCCTGTATATAACTACAAACTCAATCTTCTTTTTAATGAGTCATTTCTGTACAGACTGTAAAAAAAGGATATCCTAGAATATTTTTCTTCATTCACATTTTGCAGCCAATTAAGTTAAAGTAGGAGGATTTTCAAATGGTGATAACTGTTATGCAGGGGTTTTGTGAAGGCGGTAACTTGAGCTGAATATTCATCTACTGTTTTTCCTGCTACTTTTTTATTTTTCCTTTCAGCAAGTCCCCACATTATTTCAGTGTCATTCTTCTTATATATAAACTGAATAATAGAAATTCTACATCAAAATGTTCAAAACTGATTGGTGTTTTTAAAAGAAAACTGATGACGAGCCTAGAATATGGAAACAAAGATTTGTAGAAATTACTTGTCACTTTTTTTGTATTAATTTTAACTTTCAATTTAACATCTTATTCTGTAATTAAAACATTTGATTCTGCATAAGACAAAAAGCATATTTTCTTAAGATGTCTTTTTAGTATATATGCAGCTAAGGAAGGCTGTATAGCATGGTAGTTTAAGGCATTTGGTTATATATAGTCTTCTCCTGCCCCCTAAAGGCCTTAGTGTGTCTGTTTTACCGATATCATTTCATAGTCAATATATTTTTCAGTTCTTCTACCTTGTTTTTTTAGTATTCTGTGTTTACTAAATCATAAGTTCTACCTCCTCAGTGTTTTATTTTTCTACTCAACCATGTGTCTCACATTCCAGCCAATATTTGGTAGGAGCTGTTATCGTATGAAGTCCAGCTCTTCAGTAGAGTATGGAGTTATACCAACCAATGTGAATTTTTCTAGGGCCCTTAGTAGAGAATAGTAAAGAGTTTCTCATCCTAGAAGAGGAAATCTAATTGTATTTGTATTTATCAAGGTCCTTTGGCAATCGTACAGACTTGTTTCTGCCTTAGTCACATTCTGGGTTTGAGCCTGTCAAGTGGTTTGACACTTTTATTGAACTAACTGCATTATCTATTCATTGTGACTTACTCAGTCTCAAGAGCAATAATTTCAAGAATTTATTTATGTCGCTGAAACCTTTGTTTACTTTTGGTATCCTGTGCCTGTAATTTTGTCATCTTTTAGTTTAGCAGAAGTAACTTGGAGTAATATTTGAGATGTTGGCATAATGAAAAGGAGCCTAATTTTGTTTTAGAATTATCTTTCGATAAAGTATACATTCATCATATTTTCAATGGTTGATCTTTTAAGTACATTTTATATCTATGCCATTATATATATCTGATCAGAGTCATTAAGAATTTTAGCAGTTATAATCACTTCTCTCTTTCTGACAAGATGATCTACATTATAATGGGAAGACCTTGTGATTATGTGTGCTAGTACTAAAACCTTTATATCCCCTGTAACATGTTTATGGCCAAGTGCATAAATAATTATAAGACTTGACTGATGAAGGCACAAAGCACTTCTATACTTCGCTATGTAATCAAATACTGAGTTATGTTTTGCCTCCCCAACATCATCCCTTAGTACCTAGAGGATAAACTCTATCTTTAGTACTTTTTAAGTAGGTAGTTAGATGAGTTTAACTAGTATAAATGGATGAATCTGAGTTTGATCTAGAAGAATTAATATGTAATTTGTGTGAATCAGTTACCTGTACTAAACATTGAACACAAGCAAGGGTTAATATGTAAACTGTGTTATCTGTGCAAGGTTTTGCAGTCTTTGCACTGCTAGAATTGTTTATTAGCAATGAAAGGGGCACTACTTTTTCCTCTTGGTGATATTTTGAGATATCCTTAAGGCTCTTATACAGAATTTATAAGATTAATACATTTTTAAAATTTCTTCTGGGAACAGTGAAATTCTTATTTTAAGATGACAATTGATAAAGTTTTATAAAAGATTTTTTTTAAATTTTAGTTGTATTTATTTTTTATTTAACTAAGGCATGCACTTTTGGGCAAACTTATTAGGTAATTGACTAGATTTTTAAAAAATGTACCTTTATTAGTCAGTCAATATATATATATAGCCAGTTAATTGTGTCAACATGAATTCATATAAAATATGATTGTAAAGAAAGCCCTGGGTGCTTTGGGAAAAAAGAGAAAATAGCTGTTAAGCTGCCAAAATGGTAATGTTTTACTTTTAACATTTTGCATTTTCTTTTCAAAGGCCCAGTGCTTTTACAACAGAGGAATGCTAAAGGAGAATTGCCCTTGGATTATGTGGTTTCACCTCAAATCAAAGAAGAGCTATTTGCTATTACAAAAATAGAAGATACAGTGGAGAACTTTCATGCACAAGCAGAGAAACATTTTCATTACCAGCAACTTGAATTTGGCTCATTTTTACTTAGTAGGATGTTGCTAAATTTTTGTTCAGTTTTTGATTTATCTTCAGAGTTCATTTTAGCTTCCAAAGGGTTGACTTATCTAAATGAACTGCCTATGGTTTGTAAAAGTCATAAAGAAACCACCAGTGTTCATACTGACTGGTTATTAGATATTTATGCTAGAAATATAAAGACATTGCAGAAACTCCCACATATTCTTAAGGAACTGCCTGAGAATTTGAAAGTGTGTCCTGGAGTACACACTGAGGCCTTGATGATAACGTTGGAAATGATGTGTCGGTCAGTCACAGAGTTTTCATGATGATGCTAGAAAGTACGGATTGATGTTCTAAAATTTAGTTCAACTTGCATTGGCATTTACTATGGACATCATAGCTTGTGGACAGATAGAAATTTGATTTATTTATTGACTAACTTTGCAGCCTTGCTAAATTTTTAAAGCATTTTTAAAAAATCTTCTGCAAAACTCTAGTGTACTTCTGACTCTTTCCAGGGTTTAGAATTTGACTCAAAAGTAAAAATTATTTTGTTTTAGTATATGCTAGTTTCATTAATCTTTAATTTTTTTGTTATGAAAGTGATATTATATTGTACATGTAAAATTAATTTAAATATTTTTTTCCAATCAAAATGAATGTCATCTATTCTAGATGTTCTAGGTCTTAGAATCATGGCAAGGGTATTCATACAAATGTGTACCTGTCAACTTGTAGCTCCTGACTCTTATGGATGGATTTTGAGGAAAAAATAAGCCTAAACAAAAACATGTAGCTCCCTATTTTTTCTCTGTAGGCTGTGGGACTGAAATATGCATTTTAGCTTTATGTGTTTCTAAAATAAACATTTCTCAAATTTATAGTAATAATTAATATTCTTTTGTTTATAATGCAGCAAGTATGCAGTCTGACAGTTCTATTCCTTGATCTGTTTTATTTTAGCAATTCATATACAAGGTGTATCTGTCACTGCTCTATGTAACCAATATTCTGTATCTGAAAACATATGCTGCATAAGTTTATGAGTTTCATATTATGAGTGGCATCTAAGTAATAGATTTGAGATTTAAAGTCTTAATATATAGTATGAATTTACTGAGTAGTAATGTTTTATTGTGCAGTTTTTCCTAATAGCAGTTTATAGTAAAACTAAAAGAAAGGGTGTGGATAATAACCACGTTTGAAGTTGAAGTTTCTTCACTAGTGGAACTAAGGTACATTGTGGTACAGGTGGAAAAGAAACACTTCCATTTACCTTTAATGTAACTAAAGTGATGACTTTACAGCAGTTAATCTGCTAAAGCAACACACTTCAGTTTTATCTTGGAAATAGGTATTTTAACAAGATACAAATACTCAGTATCATATTACTGGGTTTATAATCTAAATTGAAAACTGCTACATCAGTATGGAAAAATATTTTTTAAAAAGTAATTTTTCACACATACTCAAGATATACTACTTGTTTGTATTTAGCCTTCAAATTTGACATCATACAAATCTTTTTATTATTAATCCACCAAAGTATCAGAGAAAAAATGATATAATGAAGACTAAGAAAAGTTTAAATACTTATAATAGAGAGTAAAGTGCTTCTCCAGATGATGAATAAGAATATTTTTATTCCAAGGAGTACCTCTTTACTTCACTTGTAAAAGTGTCTAAGATAGCATTTGCTTGGTAAACTAATATAAACTTGTAAACATACCTTGACATCATACACATTTTCAAATCCTTGTCTAGTTTCTTAATAACTAAATTACAAGGCAGATTCTTTTCTGAGCTTTGGTTTTCTTACATGTCAAATAGAAATCACACCAGGATCTTTGTCATGATAGAATTGTTAGCCAATCACATTATATGACACTTAATAAATATTATTTCCTTTCTAGTTCTTACCTCCTCTTTTAATTGTAACGAGCTATTTAGACCAAAGGCAAGGTAGTAATTGTTTAAGTTGATAGTAATTCTAAGGTAATTAAGTAATCAACATCATGAGTTAGGGTTTTATACTGTTAAGACAAAGTAGTTTTCTTAATTAGATGTTCATAAGATACATTTGTTTAGTTGCAGTTAGCATTAATATTTCACAATTGACTGTTCTGTCTGCCAACTTCTACAAGCCATGATGACATGAAGTATGAAACAGATGTCATTGAGGTCTCTGCTTTTCAGAAGTTTTACACTTCTTTGAAAGTCCAACATGGTAAACATAGGTTACTGTGTTCTGTGCCCTGGCTAACAATACCAGTATATGAGTATGAATTTAAATTTTCAATAAACTACTTCATTTCCAAAATTACTTTTTATACTTTATTTTAGAAAACATAATAACTGCCTTGAATAGTTACCCAAATCTATCTTTAAGGTATAGGAAGAAGAAATTCTCAGTAAGTAAAGTATAATTCATAATCTTAGTCCTCGATTTTCAGTTGCAGACTTTTCAAAGTTGCAGCTGAAGACAAGGTTGAAAAATGCTTTTCTTCATTGTATTCTGCCAGATGTGATATCATAGCTCCATGGAATCATAGTTTTTAAAATATCTATAAGAGACCATATTATACTGTAAATAAAACTGGGGAGGAGATTTCTGAGCAGTCAAAGATTCAGCTTTTCCCCATGCAGTGTTTACTAGCAATTTCTTAGAATCTCTTTGAAGTTAAGAGTTTTGTAGGTTGTTAATTTTTAATTTCACTTTGCAGAATAGTGGTCCAAGTATATACATATTTTGTCATTTTACTCATTCCAAGATGACCAGAAAAACATTTATCATAAAAGTCAAATGTGAAGTTAATTCCTGTGAATTCAGCATTTCTTGAACACCTACTCTGAACCAGGGGGTGTGCTTGAAAAGGGCTAACTATAAAAAAAGGAAAGGCTCACAGCCTAGGAAGGTAAATAAGGCTTAAGTATTGTGAGTTTTATTATCTTTATTTATTATCTTCTTTATTAATTTCAGTTTTGTATGTTTCTAAAATTTTCAGTAATAACTGGTGTTCTGTTTTAGTTAATAAATGTGAATATTCAAGTGTCCAGTACTTCAATCCTTTGATGAGTATTATTTTAGCAATGTTGTTTTAGAGTGGAAAGGATGTAGGGTGTGCTTTTGCAGTCTTAGTATTCTTAAGCAAGCACAAATGGATAACACTAAGATACTTTATATAACCTCCAGAAAATATCTGCCATTTTTGTTTATGCTGCTATAGAAAGTTAAATTAAATGAATACCTTCACATGAAAAAAAAATTGGTGGAATGTGCAATCCTTATGCCTTTATACACATTTCCAGTTAAGCTGCGAACTTGATGAGAGCCTGTCACTGTTGCTCCTTAATCAGTAGGAAGGGGTCATCCTTGAGTGACATGAGGCATTCTTTCCCTTAGGCATTTATCACGTAGCTTTCACGCCAATTGCACCTCCTGCTGACGTGGAGCTTGCAAAACTAGGAATGATAATTGTTTTTATAACAAATGTGGATTGAGTTAGAAAGGTCAGTGGTAGCATTATTGGAATTAGGCTCTGCCTGGTGTTGTCAAAACAGGAGACATGAAATAGTTAACTATTCCCTGTAAATCAAATTACGTTATCAGAAAATTCACCTTATAGGTTAAAATGAACTGTAGCTGGAGAATATACTTTGGTAGTTAGTTATTTGCTGATATATATTTTTAAATTATTATAGGCTATAAATTAATTAGAAAAGGTTGAAATGTTGTTTTACTTAGTTCTGAGCATACAATTTCAAGGTAATGCAAATCGTACGCAAAGACCTTTTCAAAGGAAACAAAACAGTTTTAAAATCATTGATCGTTAGATGTTTAAAAAGAGTTTGTCCTCTTAGAGTAAATGCTAATCTTACAGAACATCTAAAAGATGTACAAGCTGTTCCTAATACTTTTTCTTTTTGAATTTATTACTATAGGTCTTTTTTTTAGTGTAAGTATATAGTTTTGATTATAAATAACCTTAAAGTATGTTTTTATAAAGCTGAAATACAATCCTTAGCACTAGATACAAGTGATTTTTTTTTTTGGAATATTACCTTTTTTGTTTTTGAAGAGAGATTGATTATCTCTCCCCACCCCCTTTTTAAAACAGAAGTATAATGAACTCTCCTCTGCGTTTTTAACTACTTGCGGAATTACAACTACAATATTAAGTCAGCAAAGTGACTATTTATTAAACAGTATTCCTAATAAGTATGTAGTATTATATGTAATATATAATATTGTATTGCCTTTAACAAATATAAACCCCCAAAAGCCCTTATTCAAGTATTTATAAATAGTTATTTCCAATTAGAATTAAAACATATACTTCCCAGTTAGTCATTTTTATATCATGGCCCTCAAATCTTTTTAGATGTTGAACTCAGATTTGGTAGATCTAATCCTCTTCCTTGCCAAGGTATCTGAGTTGGATCAAGTGAACATTAATGCATTATGGATGTTAAACATTAATAGAGAATGGCTCAGTAGTTTGGGACATACAATTTCATTCTACCAAAGAGCGGAAGTTAAAAAAAAAAGAAAAAGGTTTACTACTTAACAAAAAGAAAGTTCACTGAACTGAAAATCTGGAATCCAGCTTTGCATTTGCACCTGTCATACTATTGTTTATTTTGATAGTAGATGAACTAAAATTACCACCGCTTCCCTATTCTGTCTCAAAGTGAAATAAATAGTAATGTTAAGAAATCATTGGCCGGGCACGGTGGCTCACGCCTATAATCCCAGCACTTTGGGAGGCCAAGGTGGGTAGATCATGAGGTCAAGAGATCAAGACCATCCTGGTCAACAAGGTGAAATCCCGTCTCTACTAAAAATACAAAAATTAGCTGGGCATGGTGGTGCGTGCCTGTAGTCCCAGCTACTCGGAAGGCTGAGGCAAGAGAATTGCTTGAACCCAGGAGGCGGAGGTTGCGGTGAGCCGAGATCATGCCATTGCACTCCAGTCTGGGTAACAACAGCGAAACTCTGTCCAAAAAAAAAAAAATCATTAATCTTAAACTGTTGGCAGATGAAAATAACTTAGTTTGTTGTCAGTGACTTCTCAACCTAAAGGTTAGATCAGCAGTGGTTTATGTGATGACTCTTGATAAATTTTTCTAATGACCAAAATTATTTGATTTATAATAGTTTTTTTTTGTTGTTGTTGTTTAAAGGAATATATATCCTGGTTATCTGGCTTCATCCTAAAGATGCATTTTTCTACTTTGCATTATTTCCTTTTTACAGCATTAGACATAAAATTATAGAGTAATGAGTAAAATCTAGTAAAATTAAAATGTGTGTTTTAAAGAACTTTCCATGAAAACTTAAAAGCAGAATTGTAAAGGTGAAAACTGGGCAAGAGGATGGGGGCAAAAGTGATTAAGAATCATTCTGTTTAAAGGAATCCCAAGGGTAAAGATTTCTAGGTACTGTTTATTACATTGATTGAAGTTAGTGAAGGTATAAAATCAGTCTTACAGAAAGCATGTAGACTAATCTAAGAAATAAACTGGGTCTTTGAAATTTTTAAATAATATTTGATAAACCAAAGGTCCAGATAATTGTTTTATAGAAGGTTTTTTTTTTTTTGTTAAAATTCAATTTAATCAAAAATAAAGAATAATAAAATTCTGGTTCTAATAGTATCAGAATCAGGCTAGATTTTTTTTTACTGTTTTAAAAAACAATTGACACATAGTAATTGTACATGTTTATTTGAGTACAGTATGATGTTTCAATACATGTGTACATTGTATAATGATAAAATCATAGTAGTTAACCTGTCCTTCATGTTAAACCTTTATAATTTCTTTGTAGTAATAATGTTTAAAACCCTCTTTTCTAGCAGTCTTGCAATATAATACATTGTTATTATCTGTAGTCACCCCACTATATAATAGAATATCAGCACTTATTCTTCTTAATCTAACTTTGTAGCCCTTGAGACCATTGTCTGTCCATCTTCGCCTTCCCTCCCTTTCCCTTCCCAACATCTGGTAACTGCCATTCTACTCTTTACTTATATGAGATCAACTCTCCCAGAGTCCGCACATAAGTGAGATCATGTGGTATTTGTCTTCCTATGAGAAAAAGGCTGTTTTGAATAGTAATACTGAGTCCTTTCTCACAGGCAGTTCTTGTATCTCATTTCTTATTTTCTTATCATTTCAGTTCTTTTACACTCCCAAAAATACTGTTAAGTTTGTACTTAGCCATGTTATTGGAGGAGATGGACTTACAGAAAGGTTGAAAGCTATTTATTAAAAGTCGTTGGACCTTTTACCTAAATATCATTTTCCTTTACTAATTTTAATATTTTAAAAATTGCAAGTAAATGTTATTAAAAATTATTTCCTCAGCCAGATATGCCTGTAGTCCCAGCTGCTTGGGACACACATGCCTGTAGTCCCAGCTGCTTGAAAGGCTGAGGCAGGATGATCAATTGAGCCCAGGAGTTCAAAGCCAACCTGAGCAACATAGTAAGACTAAGTATAAATAGTAATGTGTGTGTGGGTGTGTGTGTGTGTGTGTGTGTATACACACACATACAGAATATATACATGCACACACATACACTCTAAATTACATAAGGAAAAAGATTGTAAATAAAACCATTACTTATAGTAATTGTCTTTATGTGAAAAAATTTTGGATATTTCTTTTTCACTTCTCCAGATTTCTTTGTAATAATTTGTATTTGTTTATAATACCAGTAACGAATTTATTTTGAAAGTAATACTCCTGATTTAAATAAGAATCAGTCCCTGAAACTTTTCTAAAGTTGTCTTACTTAAACTGGCATCTACTGGATTTTTAAAAGGTAAACTACAGTTTTAATATGCTATTTCTTTAAGGTTGGATATAATTTTAAATATACTTAATATTATCTAACACAGATATCAAATAATACACTATACTGTGCTCCTTTTTTGAACATGAATCTGACCTATCACTTAACTGATAATGTTTCTCTGGTCTTTGTTTTAAGCCACTTCAAAATGGAGCCCCAAGTATGTTGAGTGGGAGTTGGAGGTGTATCACTCTTTAGTAGTACTCTTAAGTGGCTAAAGAGTAAGTTTTATCTTGCAGAATCATAACGTATGATAACATATCTTTACTTTCTGATATTAGTGTTTATGGAACCTGAAGAATTACTTGTTCTCTCTCTAATGAGACTTTTTCAGATTTGACATAGAAAAGCGGAAGAAATTGGGTAGATTAAATGATAGCTACATTTATTCAAAGATTGTACCTTAAATGGCCTTGAAAGGATACTATTATATAAAGAATTTTTCTCTTCTATCATCAATCTGAAAAAAACTCACTGTATAATTTATCTGAAAAAATATCCACTTTGTAACATATTATTTGCAATATTAATGCAGACACAAACAACCCTCTGTTGAGAGAATTCTGAAGAGTGTCTTACCACAGTTCTCCAGAGCATGTTATTTTGCACCTCTTCTCGGAAGGCTGGCGAAATAGCTTCTTGTAAGGTACTCTTTTAAGTACTAAGAACAGTTTTTTTACAGTTGTATTATATAAATATTCTGTATACCTACATGGTAACTATAGTACACCTGATAGCATCAATCTGGTTTTTTTAGGGGAAGATTTCTTACCTACTGGTCAGGGCTGTTGTTACAGTCATGGGAAATCAAGTACATATGCATTTATATGTACTACGTGTCAAATAGATAGCATCATAGTGTACAAGATTGGATGGTGAATACTTGATACCCCAATCCAAAAGTCATTGTATTTTGCTCTTGCTTAAATTACCAAGTGCTGATGTTTTGATTTTTTTAAAAGTTTTTCTCTTCTGCAAATGTATTTTTTTTAAAGTGATGGTTAGCAACTTTACACAGATAATGGAACATCACAATCTGTTTAAAAACTCCTTCATCAGATTTGCTAGCGTGTTTTGTGGATTGTTGCTTGTGTGCTTCAAAGACCCTCCTATGGTTTGCTAGTTCTCTGTTAATGGAAACTGAAGTTTATAAGAGTTTTAGGACAAAGGTAAGAGTTAGGTATACCATTGTGTTTTTTTCATCAGAAATTGGTGTTAGCTATTTCCTCTATTATAAAACAAAGATGACAAAATTACAAACATACTCCACCTTGTGTGATAGGAAATAGATACTTCTATCTTTGTAAAGTTTTTCTAAGAGCTTATAAGTTTTTGACACCAATAAATTGTTTTCCATGGTTGCAGTGTTACAAGGTACAGATTTTGACTTGTTTTCATAATTACTGTAGAAAAGAAGAATGTTTTGTGGGCAGGTAGTTATAAGTTTCAGTTCTCCAATAGCTTTATTGAAAAGGGTTCTTTGAACTTGGAACAAATATTGTCATATCCTTCCCCTTGTCTCTCTTCTGTGGTCCAGCTGTCTCTGTATCAATGCTTGACTATTCTAAGGTGTCTCTAGTAATGCAAAAAAACAAGTATGAGTAAGTATGTGTAGTTAGGCCAGGTGTGCTCCTTTTTCTATGAATTTAGCATTTCCTCCAAACCTGTCACCATTTGAACTCTGGCAAAATAAAATCCCTCAAATAGACTCAAGCAATTTTGAGCTTGTCTTTAACTAGAAAGTGAAACTGAACCTATATTATCATCTTTCTTCACTAGTGGGAGCAACAATTCTACTCAGCCAGGCTTCAGGATCTCCTTAAATATATTCCTTCAGAGAAAATAAGGTAGTTTTTAGGTTCACTCATTGACTCAGGTTGGCCACTCCTTTTATCTTTGGAAGGAACATTGAAGAATCTGTAGTAAGGGATAATTGCAATGCAATTTTAATTTTGCTACATACTGAAAAAACTTAGGCACAGCTACTTACCTAAACTATTTCTGCTTTCCTTGAAACAAATCTTTCTGCCTAATATAGTAGCACTTAATTGACTAAAGCAGAACAGCAATGTACTTTGGTTACTTTTTAAAAAATGGAGTAATATTTTTCACTGACATTTGGTGGTACGGATAACCATCATATAAATTTAAAAACCTATCTTTACAAAAACACTGCTTGTGCATGTAATAGAACACTTTTTTTGTTTGAATTTTTGGTTTGTTTTTTTTTTTTTTTTTAAGCTTATGATGTCAAGGAAGAGCCCAATAAATTGAAATTCATTTGAGATCAGTTATAATTTTTGCTATTTTTTTATTCTTAACTCACATCCTTCCTTGGAAAAGCACAGATAGAATCATTAAGTTCCAGCAAAACTTTCATGGTGCTCCTACTTTCTACATTATGTGATTTCTTTGGATGTTCAATGGTTTTTATTTGCATAGTATTCTTTTTTAATGAGATTTTTCAAGATTATTTATCAAATTTTAACCATTCAGCTAAAGTAAATCTTATGTGACTGCCTCTGTACAAATTGCCACTCTATAAATAATAGAAACTGAGGTACCAGAGGGGAACATTTTCACCCAAAAAAAAAAGTTTTGATGTTTTCTTTCAGTGAGTTACACCAATCATCCCAGGAAAAAGAAGTATAATTGAAAGAAATGACACTAATGTAAGAAAGAATTTACCACATTATTTTCTATGTGGTTTTAATTCATACTTGACTGAGCAATTAGAAAAGGCTGGTTCTAGATACTCTTAATCAAACCAATGAATAGATATCTATATACACAGTCACACTAGAGTGTGAAATCATGCTCTTCATTTAAAGCCCCAGGATTTAAGCAAGTATTAATTTAATAATATCTGAGACCTTTTTCAAGAAATATAATGGTGGCTGTCTTTACTTGTATTTCTGGAGCAAAAAGGTGTAACTGCCTTATACCTTTGTTCTTAATCTTGACTACAAAGCTCAACATCATAAACATTTAGGCCCATTTAACAAGTTCATTAGCTGAAGTTACAGACTTTGAAATAGTTAATACAAATATACACTACTTTCAGCATAGGAGAACTTAGATATGAGATCAAAGTGGAAAAAAATCTCCTCTGGTTCCTAGATTACAAAGTTTATTTCTGAATTTTCTTCACTTTTAAATGCAGAATAAAAATTTTATAAGAGATAATTTCAGAAATGTATCAATTAAATTTGGCTCACACTATACTTCAACTCCAGATATGATTTTAATATACAATCGTTGGTTTGACCATTTCCAATAACAGGGTCATGCAGTTGGTATTCAATAAATATATCACAAGGCTAAGTTTTTTAAAGAATCTGCCAACTCAGATTATCCTAGTGTATAGAATGTTTCAAAAATTGGAATTCCTACAGAACCTATCAATCAGTTTGAGTCTGAAACAGCACCAGAATGAGTGAGAAGTACCATTATTTTTTTTGATAGGCGAGGAAAAAATTAAAAAGCACAAATATGCATTTCTTATGAATTACCACAACTAGTGGCAATAATAGTTTGGAATACAAATATAATGACTTTCAGTTAATTTACTCACTAAAAGATACTGAGAAATATATTTAGTAGTTTATCTCTAATCGTTAGCAGTCCAAGTAGATGTTAGAGTGACATTCAATCTCTTAAGATATCTTAAAATATTTATTTCACAAATCTCTCAAAATCAAGACAAGTCAGGCAGCTCTCAAGAAAGAATTGAACCTATGTGAGAAGGGGAAAGAAATAGTTAAAATTTTACTGTAGTCTATTACATTCATAGTCTGTTTCAGCCTGTGAATGTAGTAGTTTCTAGAAGTGATGATTTCCCTGAATATCTCTTTTGTGCCTCAAGCTAGTTCTTATGCCTATATGAATTTCATTGGATACTACCCTCCAAAGGTATTTTTATACAAGAATTAGAGGAGTTTCAGGAAAAGCCCTGTTTAAACCAAATTTGTATTTCTCCAAGTGAAATATAATGTATAAGAATATACACACAATCCCCCATCAATCTTTGAACCACCAAAAAAAAAAGAGTATTGATTATACATGGGAAAGATTATTTTCTTTTGTATTTAATGCAGTGAATGTGTAGTCAACATTACCATTGAACTAAACATCTGAAATTTGATACAGTGAAACAAACAAATTAGTCATCTATTAATGGTTACTATCTGCTAGATACATCTCAGGTTGTAGAATATCAGGCTTAGAGACATCTGAGTACACATTGCCAGCATAGAACGTAAGTCTCACATAAGATATAATCGAAAGTTATTTCAAACAGTTATCTGATCAATAAACTTTCTGTAGTAACATCAAGTTCATGGAACATTGTTTTTAGCAACAAACAGTAATGGTATGCAGATGGAAGCATGTCATTTTAAACATGATACATTAAATAGAGCATGTTGAGGTCAAAGCCTTTCTGTAGAAAGGGAATTTAATTGACATTCAAGCATAGTATATAAACAGATCAAAATAGTTCTATTATAAGAAATAGTATTTAACAACTTATCTCTAAAATAAAAATACTTTAAAAATAACTTCAATGAGATTAAATTTATTGTCAAAGACTCTTCCTTTAGAGTGAAATATACATTTTTCAGCTTTTCTATAACTTTTCCAGGTTAACCCTCACTTTTACCCCATCCCAGTCTATTATTAATAAAGTAGTGCAAAGCATTGTCTGCTGCAACTTCAACTGAGTGTAATCCCCTACCAAGTCAGGGAAGTAAGACATTCTCAGCCAACCAAATTATTTTTCTCCAGAGGTATGCTCCCTCAATATACCAGGAGTGAGATACAAAAACTACGAGTCTTGGGAATGCAATTTTTAAGTGTAGATTCTATGATAATAGTGAAACATTGTTAAAGGCAACCACCACCCCCAAGCAGTTTATTTTACAAAACAGGTTTTCATGCATTATCAAGAATTTTTTTTATAAATGTAGTGAAACACTGGCCTATCACTTAGCACACTGCATTCTCCTCTACATTAAAATTCACACTAATAACAAAATGATAGTATGAATTAAAGCATTTCAGTAATCTAATGAGAAAGCAGAGTTTTTTTTTGAGAGCACTTGAGTATTAAAATATTTTTAGATGCACAGATACAATCTGACACCAAAAGCGATATGAATATAGTTTGCTAGTATTTTTGATAACTATACTGGGTTGCTAATTTGCTAACTCTGTATAAATTAAATTAGTGGTAGGTATAAAAATTCAGATAGGCAATTGTTATAAACTGGCAGTATTTATGTGGTGTAGTCCTGTAGAGATTTTAAGGTTTAAAATGGAATGATTGTTAGAAGGTTTGAAAGTTTTCTTTATAGAATTGCAGAGTATTGAAGATTCTTTTGAGGGAGTGAATGTACCTTCACTTATTAGCTTAAAATCAGCTTAGTCATACCTAAGTAATTTGCACAGGAGCGAATGTCAGGATCTAAAACCAGAATATATGTTAAATTGAAATGCATCTATTCCATTATTCAGGCTTTGGGATTTCCCTACCTTTTGAAATGTATAAAACATAGAAAAGAGTAATGGATTACTTTTGAGATAAAAAATAGTCACATTAAAAAAAAAACTTTAAAATCAAATTGACATTTACAATTGGTGTCGATTTAATCAGAGCACAGGTATTTAATCCACTTGTAATTAGGTAAGTGTATATCTTCCAATGTTATCATCATTCTTATATTTGTTCTTTCAATGTGTTATATTATTATCCACAGCTAACAAGGCTTTCACACAGCAGTAGCAAAACCTTTATCAAGTTGAGTCTGTACAATAGAACTATATTTTCAAAGACATATGCCTTTATACACTATTTACAAATTCTCTCCATCATGATAAAAAGGCAAAATAAATAAAAAGCAGTAAGAAAGGAAATGCTGCTGAGGCTGAGGGCTTTTTCTTTTATCTTCCCAAACAGATGCTGGTCTCCTCAGTGCTGGGAGCTGGCTAGCCAAGATTGTTTTTCTTTCTTTTATATGGGCTGTGAGAAGGATCTGGTTTCAATTCTTGGTACTGCACCTGTTTAAACAGAGTTCAGAGAAATAATACTGTTCAGGTGGCCACTTTCTGGCAAAGAAAGGAAAAGCAAAGGAATGAGAGACTGTGCTGGGGGGAAAAAAGTGCTCACTCTAGAAGCTTTATGGGATCTGCAGCTGAGATGCAGAAAGCAATAGAATGACAGAGCAAGAATAAGAAGGGAAATCCTGTCGGAAACTACATGAAGCCCTGATGTGAACTTTAGTAATGGCCTTCACTAACACATTACATTAAAAGCAAAACTATATCGATTTTAAAGGGCTTGATGATGGTTTTTTACAATTTAGTGTGTGTTTGCTTAATACAGTCTTAAATTCCATCCAGCCCACTGACACACACACACACACAAAAAAAATCCTTTATTTTATTCTGAAAACAGCTGACAGTTAATGGGCATTAACCTTGAAGGATTTCAAAGGTTTTAGAAATATGCTGCACTCTTCAAAAAACTCTCCTCACTGACCTCCAAAATATACTTCTTTAAAACTTACTTGTAATTCTTGCAAATTCTGAAAGATAATTTTTTTTCTTAATGTCCACTGCATATTTTGATTTAATCATCTAATATTCCTATTTCCCCCCCTCAGGTCATAAGTCACTCCCATAGTGACTTCCTATTTCCAAGCTGAACTAACTTGGAAGAGTATCCTCCCTGATAGACAGCTCTGGTAGGTTCTTTACGCAACTGCTCTTTTTCCCATTCTCTGTAAGTTGTTCTTAGATAACACCCCAAGTGGGCTAAATTTCTGACTGGTAAAATCTGCTACACAGGCTTTATTAATTTTACTCAGCTCTTGTAAAGCAATTGCATTAGAAGGATATAAATGCTAAAACCCAGAGCCATACTACATTAAAATAATAGCAATAATAATAACAAAACCTACATACCACTTGTACATCTGAAGGGACTCTGGAAAGGAAGTCAAGTAGTTCATTGTTATCAATTGCATATGGACTCCGAAGCTTTTTTGTAAATTTATTGATTCCTGAAAAAGTGATAGATTAAACATTATTTAAATAACCAAAATTGGAGATAAACAAAGCACATTTCTGGCAAAAGTGTTGTAGTAATTGGAAGATCTAACTTGTATGCCTTGAATCAGTGAACTAATGCACCCAATTTTTTCCCTCTCTTCCTCTTCTTCTCCTTCATTTCTTCCTCCTCCCTCAGTTACTGCTCTTTCACTTTGCACTTTAGTAGCTGCTTCCAAGCAGGAAAGGGTTTCTATGTGGGAAATAAAGGAGGTCCCCTAGCAGTAATTAGCAATCTCTTGCATTTTTCCCCTCTGTGTTACAGTATACTTAAAAGCCTTACTTTAGTATTTCATTTCTGATGAAACTTACTTTCCTACTTTTTGGGTTAAGATTTTTAAGGCAAGATGTCTAACTCATTGGTTTCCCCTTTTCCAAAAAATGCATCTTTTTGGAGGTGGGGGGTATGTGTTGCTATTATGCCCGATCAATGTTTAGAAGACACGTGATCATTTTTTTTCCCCAAACCGGAAATGAAAAGATTCGCCCCTAGCTTTGTAAAAAAAAAAAAAAAAAACCTTTACATGAAATCAACAAACTGGCAAAAACTGAGCCATAAACTAGAGCATTTTGGCTCTTCTTCAGGGAGTTCATGCAGAATAAGCTTCTAGAATCTGTCTCCTCATATAAGACTATAGTCTTAAATTTCTGGCTAATATCCCACCACCAAAGGAATACTTTTCTTGTTTTATTTTGTTTGATGAAAGAAGAGGCCCAAACACATTCTGCAAAATACTTTTAAGGGAGCTAGTCAGTGAGGCCACTGCAAGTTACATAGCTACATGTCTGCCCTGGGCTCCAGTTTCTGCAAACCTGGGAAAACAGGGCATTTGCCACCACCTCTTGCGACAGAGATGACTCCACAAGCCAAGGCAGGTCTGACCTTAGGTAGACTAATTTTTTCAATAAAGAAGCATCTGCTTTAACTGTCAGGAAGAAATGAAAGATGAACATACAATAGAAAGTAAGAACATAGTGAAAATTAAATTATTCTTCCCTTACATAATGAAAGTGCTGTCTAAATTGAATTTCTTTGAATTACAGAAATTAGGAAAGGAAAAAATAATTACCATTTCCTCCACCTCTCACCCAGGCTGTAAAGGTAATGCTAGTGATAAGGGGTAAGAAGGCTTGCTCAATATATGATAAGTTGGGCTAAAAAGAATAGGGAAATAGGAATCTTAAAAGCAGAGGGCTTGGGGTATCAGACTTAAACTCACTTTATTCCAATATATTTATTCAAAAGCCTTAAAGAGAAAAAAAATTTTGCCTTCCAAAGCTAAGACCCATTTTGGTTCTTTGTGTTTTGTATAGGTTTAGCAATCTTAGGTGTTTGTGTAGGCAGGTGAGGGGCAGGTAGAGAATTCTTCTACCCAGTCTTGTTTACGTATTATTAATGTTGTATTAGATCCTAGAGATAGAAAATTGTTTTCCAAACCAAGAATTTTGTCAGGAAAGAAATTGGGAAGAGTGCTGCAACTGACAATCTCCTAAATGGAGCCCAGGTGCATAGGAATCATTGGCATGCAGCATACTCACATTAAAAATTAGGACCGAAAAAAATCACCTTTAATATAGGTATTTATAGAAACAGTCTTATTTAGTACACATAAAGGGATCTTTTTGTTCCTAAGGAACCTGCAAGTGCCAAGGACCCTTTTCCCAAATGCTAAAGGTGACCTCTTAAACAGGCAGCCATGTATAGTACCATGTTTACATATACTTTCATAAGATAAAATACAACAGCAAAGGAAGCATATTTCCTTAAATGCACCATATAGATTGAAATGCCTCTGTTTGTATATAAGTGGTGAATATAAATCAGAGGGATATCTAGACAAAGCTACACTTTGATATATGAAGAATCTGTACAACTAACATGTTTATAGTATGATGAAACCTAGTGTGCCAGATAAGAAAAATACATTTTGCAGGTAGACCTAAATCTTTATACTGTTGTGATTTTTAACTGACCTGTCTCTTTTCATCATGGAGTAGCTTCATGACCATAAATACAGAGAACTGCTGACAGTATAACTCATCTCTTAAACACAGTTGTTTGTAGCAGCTAAGACAGTTTGGGGGAGCCTGGGAGGGTTTACTTACCCCAGACAAGGACAATGTATCTCAGCGGAATGCAGTACAGGATGACTGTGAACACACAGAGGGCTACAATGGCCAGCCAGCTTAAGAATGGGACAGTCCAGTTGAAAGTACTGAATGGAAAATTAACACATCAGCAATATGAGTAGTTCATACTTTTTTCAAATATTGAAATACATATGATTCTGACTTAACTTGGGACCTAGTTAGTCGGCATTTCTCTGTGGAATAGATTCCAATTGTAATAGGTTATCAGAAGACACAGTCTAGTTCGTCATAATCTGCTCAGTTCCATGAACACAGGGCCCTTGTAAAGAGTCTTGCTGCCAATTTCTCCAGATTGTCCCAGGTGACTTCAGCATCTAAACCTAATGCACTATTTGGGTGACTCCCCACATGGAAAAAGATCTTTATTTTTCTACTGCTAAGACTAGTAACCATCCTTGTTTTCTCCAACTTTTCAGAGGGGAATGCCCCTGGGCCTACCATTCTTCCTTCTGTCAACTATCAGTATTTCCCACATTGGGAATAAAATGTTGCCAGCATGGTTATGTAAAAAATCCTCTGAATGTTAGAATTCCTTAGAGGAATACTCACTTCCTACCTCAGCTATGTTTCAAATATAACTGGAAATCAGGAGAGAGGAACAGAACAGTTAGCCTTGCAAAACTTCACCTCTTTTCATTGCCCCTCTTCCCAGAAATACATAGGTAATTAAGAAATAGAAGCAGCATTGCTTACTATTATCTCGCATGTACTTCTTGTGAAGGAGAGCATTCTGGCAAAAGTAATTGGTAACATAGAGGGCTGAGTCAGAGAAGGCTGCAAGACTCAGTATTGACAATAAGACAGAATAGCAAACAGAAACAAGACCAATGAACAGAAGTAGAAGTCACAAGAAAAAATTAGGAGATGGGAAGGAATTTACTGAGACAAAAAGGGGAAAAAAATGAAGACAGGCAAAAAATATAGAGTAGAAAATCAAGAAAATGGAACACGGGATGATTGTAATCACTTAAGGCTTTTTGTGTGGAAGTCAGTCTGGTACTTAAGCATGTGCCAAAATTATAAAGAAAATAGAAACACTATGTAGAGCCTCCAGGGTTGGGCATATAAATATATCACCATTTACAAGCATACCATTGCATTCTTTCAAATTTCTCCTAAGAGTTCATTCACTGAAGAGGAACTAACATATCATGTCCTGTGACCAAGAAGTTAGCAGATCTGTATTCAAAGCCTAGATTCTGTTATGTGGATTTAGCTGGGTCAACCTCTCTAACCCTTTCTCCATGTATAAAATGGGATAGCTTTTATTCTGTCAAGAATAAAAAAAAGTCGTTATGATGGTAACATGTTTATGTGAATCAAGTTGAAATTATTAGAACTAATCAACTCAAGGAATTTCAATTATGGTACTTTTTTCTTATGAGACAGTGAGAAGGGCCCCTAAGACACTTCAGAAAAACATTGTTCATGTAGACAAATGTTACTGTCTTTTATTTCTTCTAATTTCCTGGTACTGTATGTTGTACTTACTTGAGGTGAGTTTTTTCAGGGCAATTTTGACCCAATAAAGGATGATTGCTAAGAGATTTTCTTCTATACAGTGCCTCAGCATAATTAGGAATTAGTTGTTCCTTAGCTTTGTGGCATGTAGCTTGTTTTTTGTCTCTCTCTAGGTCAAAATTATTGCCTAAATTTGTTTTTTCTACTAAATGAGCCAATGTTGGGTCAATCTGGGTATCCTATTTTCAGTAACCCTTTGGGTCTGGCTTTTCTGTCTTTGTCTTTTTCCTCTTACGGTCAACAGTGAGCATCTGTAACTGTCACCAGGTAAAGGATCATGCCTTCCCTTCCGGATGGACACCTTTGCTTCTGCTTGCTTGTGGAGAGAACAGAAGGCTGAGGGTATGCTTGCTTTCCTGCAGCTAAGCTCAGAGCCATCCATCACACTACTCCATGTGTGAGGGCACTGGCTCTTCACTCAGAAAACCTTCCTTCTGGGCAGCCCCACTGACGAACTCCCTGTGTTCTTCTTACTCCTATTGGAAGGATACATGGCAAAGAATCTCTACCAGTGTAGCTGTTAGAAAAAAAAAAAGATTGCCCTTTTCTATTTCTACTCTCTGCATTATGGAATCTAAATCTAGAATATGATCTTCCCCCAAAAAAGGATGCAATTCAAGAAAGTTCTGGAAAGATTAGTAACAAGACATGGTAATTATAGAGCCCTTTCATTTTGTGCTTAAAGATTGCTTCTGAATCTGCTTTCTGGATAGATGCATGTGACCCGAGGAGAATTTCTCTTTTAGCATGCAAAAGATCATTTTGTGGGAGAGATGGGTCCTACAAGACTCACTGGCTCCTATGCCATATTCCTGTACCTTAGCTTAGCATAGGAAGTCCTACAAAACCCAGGTTTTCCAAAGGCTGGAACACCACCAGAATCTGGTCATATCCCTTAGTTAGTCATCATGTTTTCCTGCCAAGTATCTCTTCTGAGGCCTTCTGCCACCTAGAGTTACAAAGGAGCTGCTTCTCAGGCATTCAGTAGTCTGATCCTTGGTCTTTTGGTATAAATGAGATGTTTCTGTCAGGTATTAGCTCACAGTGTACCCCAGATAAAAGACAACACTCAATGGGGAAATGCCCCAAATTCAGGGCTTCATACTATTTCAGTGGATAGTGTGTGGAGGACAGGTAAATATTCTTGGATATGGAAGGAAATACACAGAGGAAGGAGAGAGAAAAGATATGGGAACAGTCTTCAGAAGTCCAAAACTGAATGCTTCCTAAAGTCACATCTGGGAGTGAGAGGGGGGCTGTTCTAATATAAGAAAGTAGAAACTCAGCACCTGGACATGTGGAAATATATTAAACAAAATTATACAAAACAAAATGCATTATCCCTTGCAACATGAAAGGCACCAAATGAATGACTCACACCTTTAGTTTAAATAATTTACTCCTTTTCAAATTCATTGTATACCCAAGGATTCAAATCTGTAGAAAACTTTTGCTTATGAATAATAAACAAAGAATAGATACATGAAACTGGGAAAATAAAGGTTTCTCCAGAATTTGGCACCCCTTCTTGAGTAGACCTTTAGCAATCATTATATATGCCAATTTTTACATAATTTAGAAGTATGTAATACTTTTAACTGATAATTCTTTTAACTGGTAATTCTTATAAATCTTGTTTTTAAAAAATATAACACTGTTTTAAGTAAAACATAAGTATTTAAGATTAAGAATTTAAGTTTCTTAATTTTGCATTAGAGCTCAGTGAAGATATATATTTCCTTATTTTTAAAAATTAAAAGGGATTCAGTTTTTATAATTTTAAAAATGGTGTGTATTTTCTAAATGACAAAGCTTTATTGTTAATTATGATTAACGATTGATAATTATGATCTCAGCTATTTAAATACACACTTGAAAAAATATTTTTTGCAGGGTACCATAAATACAATTTTTTAAAGAATTTAGTCACTTGATGAAAATATAAATAGACCAATAATAAAATGCAGGTGTATCTTAATTACCTGAAGTCCTCGTTTAGCTTGGTTTATTTTTTTCCTATCACAATTTCATATTCCGTTTAAGAACAAAGTCTTTCACAGTGAAAAATGTGCTAAAATTTAGGACGGTGTTATTTCTTCAAAGCTACAAGTGTGACTTCTTTCCAACCAATATGTTCTAAATTTCAGGAAGGAAATTGACAGAACTTTCATAAAGCCAAAGACTGGCAGAAATAAAGTAAATAATGATAAAACCGAGCAATAGATCACCCAGAAGGAGTGTCCCCTGCCAAAAGGAATGTGGCATTTCATTCTCTGAGAAACAAATGGACACCCTGTCCCACGGAAGACTGGGGCTTACATGTCACTGTCACTCACTTCTTTATCCTTTCGCCAAAGGAAGCCACTTCATCTAGGATGTTCTGGACACTGACACATACCTCCTGGATGGCGTAGATTTTATTTATAAATCCCTTTTTTTCACTGTCCTAAAATGCAATTAAAAAAAAAATTCTGTATGAGTAAATGTTTTCTTCATTGATTGAATTCTTTGTGTTGTCCCTCTCTTGCATTTTTAAATAAATTCCATTTTTATGTGTGTATAAATGGATAATTGGAACCCATGAAAATATCAGGATTTTAAGGGACATGAGGAGGAAAGGGACCCAGCATCATGGATTTGTGCTTACAAAGGTGGCTGCAAAGCAAAAGACTTGGGTTCCATTGCTCTTGTCCTGATGAGCAGAAGAAACATTTTGGGGAGGAAGGTATAAGAGAGGGGGTGGTCCCAGAATTACTAAACTTGGATTCTACAGTGCTTCTGGATCCACTGAGACACTACTTAGTGGACCCATTTTCTTGATCCCACCCACCGCCCACATACCCAGCTTTTGTTGTGGCTCAGATATTTCAGCAGCAGAGAATGCTGGATGCAATTGAGATTTGTGAGCAATGAAAACTGCAAAAAAACACAAACCACCAAAACCTGAAATCTATGTGGATACTGCTTAGATCATATACACACTAAGCCTGACCGACTTCTTAAAAATAAGTCATATATTATGTACAGTAGTATATGCTGTATTAGGTTCTAACTAAACATTTTTTCACCTTTTTGTACTTAGTTCTTCATTTTAAAACATTGAATTTAAGCCAAGCTGGTGTGCTTCAGGTAATAGATGGTTGGAGATTGAGCATTAAACCACCTAAAGAGTGGGGTGAGCCTAGGAGAGATGTGCATATTTTGCAATTTTAAACCCAAAGGTAGAAATAGTGGTGGCCTTTCACAATTGAAAATTCTGCTTAGTAGCCTGGCATCACAGGCACTTGCCTAGGCTGTTTGGTGGAGACCGTCCAACCCTGATTCTTTGACTCCATTCCTCCATGCCAGCTTGAATATCTGTGGAAATGTAGATCCAATTTCATTACTTTAACTTCTTTGAACACTTGCACACTATGCCAGAACACTTGAGACCTCATGTGGCAGTCAGTGCTTGCTGAAAGCAGCCAGGAAGCTAGAATAATAATGTCATGTTGCACATTTACATACTGACTTTCATTTCAGAAGAGTCTAAAGCACTCTACACTGTGAACACTTGGCCAGGACTGGCATTCCGCCACCTCAGAAACTACAGGCAAGTAAATGACAGATGTGTGTGCCTCCTCCAAGGACAACAGGGTACACTGGGACTGAGGACATGGAGGCCAGTTTTATAACAATCTTTGGTATAGATACCAGTTAGAGCCTTCATTTTAAATTCAATTCATAATGGAGAAATTTGTCTATATTATTCATCTTATGCCAAAATGCATTGTCAGTTAGGTAGATGAGATGCATAAAGCTTAATAATGGTATTGGGAACAGTTAGCTACTCGGTTCCCTACTGTCTTCAGAAGTCACCATTCACTTGTCATGACAGATGGTACATCAATATCTTATCTTTCACACTCTCCAGTAATAAAGTGTTAGTTTCATCTATACAATTGCAGGTAGAGTAAAATGAATAACCAGTGGCTTTTTCCTGTTTTTTTTTTGAAACTACAAAGTTGGACTGCCCCAATTGTGTGTCCTACAGTATTTTCATCTCAAGCACCAGCTAAGTTCATTTATGTCTATGAAGCAAAGTACTGATAAATATTTAAGCACATACAGAATAAGTCAAACCAGTTGAAGCATGCTGGTTGTACAATGAAACCCCATTGAGAATGTCTTCCAGCTCAAAATTATGTGAAAAAAATATTTTGCAATAATAAATATATTAAATACCTAGGTAAAACCTCAGCAAGATAGGTACAAAACATATATGAAGATTTTTTTTCAGTTGAATATATAGGTTTAGTGAAATTTCAAGCAAATCCTAATATTCAGAGTGGAGAAAAATCGGGAGAACTTAATAGTGTTTCTAAAATTTGTTTGGACAAATAAATAGGTAAGTATAGCTAAGAAATTTTACAAAAGAAATCATGAGGAGGCATTCAGTGTACTCCATATTTAATTAAAATAAGATGGGCATCAAACGACTGGTATATGATAACGTGTCATACACAAAGGAAATAAGGAAGTACTGTTATTGGGCAGTTGTGTTAACTATTTGGAGAAAGTTATGTTAAATTCTACCTAAAATAGACTATCAAATCTGAGATAGCCCAAATCTATCTTAATATCTACCTTAAACAGCCCCAAATACATTCCATATTAATTTTAAGAAGTTAGTATATATCACAATCAAGTCAGCTTCATCCCTGAGATGCAAGGCTGGTTCAACATACACAAATCAATAAAGTAATTCATCACATAAACAGATCTAAAGACAAAAACCACATGATTATTTCAATAGATGCAAAAAAAGGTCTTCGACAACATTCAACATCCCTTCAAGTTAAAAACTCAATAAACTAGGTGTTAACAGAACGCACCTCAAAATAATAAGGGCCATTTATGACAAACCCACAGCCAATATCATACTGAATAGGCAAAAGCTGAAAGCATTCCCCTTGAAATCTGACACAAGACAAGGATGCCCTCTCTCAACACTCCTATTCAACAGTATTGGAAGTTCTAGTCCGGGCAATCAGGTCAGAGAAAGAAAAGATATTCACATAGGAAGACAGGAAGTCAAACTGTCTCTATTTGCAGATGACATTATCATATATCTAAAAAACCCTATCATCTCAATCGTAAACTTCTTAAGCAATAAGCAACTTTAGCAAAGTCTCAGTATACAAAATCAATGTGCAAAAATTGCTAGCATTCTCTATATGCCAATAATAGACAAGCAGAGATCCAAATCATGAATGAACTCCCATTCACAATTGCTACAAAGAGAAGAAAATACAGGAATGCAGCTAACAAGGGAAGGGAAGGACCTCTTCAAAAAGAACTACAAACCACTGCTCAAGGAAATCAGAGAGGACACAAACAAATGGGTAAATATTCCATGCTCATGGATAGGAAGAAATAGTATCATGAAAATGGCCATACTGCCCAAAGTAATTTACAGATTCAGTGCTATTCCCATCAAACTACCACTGAAATTCTTCACAGAATTAGAAAAAAACTACTTTAAAATGCATATTGAACAAAAAGAGAGCTTTGTATAGCTAAAACAATCCTAAGCAAAAAAGAACAAAGCTGGAGGCATCATGCTGACTTCAAACTATATTATGAGGCTACAGTAACCAAAACAGCATGGTACTGTTACAAAAACATACACAAACAGAATAGAATAGAGATCTCAGAAACAAGACTGCACATTTACAACCATCCGCTCCTCAACAAACCTGACAAAAACAAGTAATGAGGAAAGTATTCCTTACATAATGAACAGTGCTGGGAAAAGTGGCTAGCCTTATGCAGAAAATTACAACTGGACATCTTTCTTATACAAAAATTAACTTGAGATGGATTGAAGACATATGTAAAACCCCAAACTATAAAAACCCTAGAAGAAAATCTAGACAATACTATTAAGGACATTGGCACAGGCAAAGATTTCATGACAAAAACATCAAAAGCAAGCATTTTGCATGCAACCAAAGCAAAAATTAACAAATGGGATCTAATTAAACTAAAGAGCTTCTGCACAGCAAAAGAAACTATCATCAGAGCAAACAGACAACCTAAAGAATGGCAGAAAATTTTTGCAATCAATCTGACAAAGGTCTAATATCCACAATCTACAAGGAACTTAAATTTACAAGAAAAAATCCCATTAAAAAGTAGACAAAGGACATGAACAGTCATTTCACAAAAGATGACTTTTTTTTTTGACCTTGAGTTTCACTCTTGTTGCCCAGGCAGCAGTATGATAGCATGATCTTGGCTTGCTGCAACCTCTACCTCCCAGGTTCAAGCGATTCTCCTGCCTCAGCCTTCTGAGTAGCTGGGATTACAGGCATGTGCCACCATACCCAGCTAATTTTTTGTATTTTGAGTAGAGACCAGGTTTTACGCTGTTGGCCAGGCTGGTCTCAAACTCCTGATCTCAGGTGATCCACATACCTTGGCCTCCCAAAGTGCTGGAATTACAGGCATGAACCACTGTGCCAACCCAAAAGACGACATTTATGTCACCAAACATATGAAAAAAAGCTCAACATCAGTGATCATCAGAGAAATGAAAATCAAAACCACAATGAGATACCATTCCATGCCAGTCAGAATGGCTATTATTAAACAGTCAAGAAACAACAGATGCTGTTGAGGCTATGGAGAAATAGGAATAGTTTTACAATGTTGGCAGGCAAGTAAATTGGTCCAACCATTGTGGAAGACAATGTAGTGATTCCTCAAACACCTAGAATCAGAAATACCATTTGATCCAGCAATCTCATTACTGAGTATCTACCCTACGGAATATAAATTATTTTATTTTAAAGATACATGTATATGTATGTTAACCGCTGACTATTCACAAAGGCAAAGCCATGGAGTCAACCCAAATGCCCATCAGTGAATCAGTGATTCACTGGATAAAGAAAATGTGGTACAGGGCGGGGTGCAGTGGCTCACGTCTGTAATCCCAACACTTTGGGAGGACAAGACAGGCAGATCACGAGGTCAAGAGATCAAGACCATCCTGGCCAACATGGTGAAACTCTGTCTCTACTAAAAATACAAAAATTAGCTGGGTGTGGTGGCACATGCTTGTAGTCCCAGCTACTGAGGAAGCTGAGGCAGAAGAATCACTTGAACCAGGAAAGTGGAGGTTGCAGTGAGCCGAGATCACACCACTGTACTCTAGACTGGCAACGGAGCGAGACTCGGTCTCAGAAAAAAAAAAAGAAAATGTGGTACATATATACCATGGAATACTATGCAGACATAAAAACACATGTGATCATGTCCTTTGCAGGTACATGGATGGAGTTGGAAGCCATTATCCTCAGCAAACTAACATAGGAACAGAAAACTAAACATTGCATGTTCTCACTTAGAAGTGGGGAGCTAAACAATGAGAACATATGGACACAGGGAGGAGAACAACAG